CATGTGAGGGAAGTCACAGTCCTTAAAATACCCTGGGTAATTCCTAGGATTACAGTGTTATAAATGGATATTCATTCATTCATTCATTCATTCATTCTTTCATTCGACAAACATTTACTGAGTGTCTCATGTAACCTCTGCCTGATTCTAGGCACTGGGAATATAGTCGGAATATAGCATTCATGTGTTCTACACACACACACACAGTAGTCAGGTGGATGAGGCAGACAGTAAACCAGTACACACATAAACACACACACACACATGCAGTGCACACATGCACACATTCAGAGAGTGAGGACAGTAGCTTGCTTAGATTCTGGTACCAAGTCAGGGGTGTGTGTGGTTTTTCCACACCACCAAGCACTTCTCTAGCACCAGCCTACAATTGGGCTGATTTCTGATACCATCTACCTGGAGAGAGCATCAGATCCCACAGGTTTTATCTGAATTATTTTGGATTTGACAAATGTTCCCTGAGGACCGTACTTAAATGGAAAGTTTGTAAGAAAATAAAGCTGACATAAAACTATTTACCCTTTCTTTTTAAAACAATATGAATTACAGTGGCTCAGAAAAAATTTGTTAGGCACAAAGTAGCTACAAGTTGGCTCACTCCTAGAAGACTGTCCGCCTTCCAAGCCAATGGAAAGCCCTGTGCTTCTAAACGGACTGGCTATAAATTGGGAGGTTTTTTTTTTTTTAAAAAAAGACTCAACTTGCTAGAGCAGCTCGTAAAACTCAGAGAGGCTTTTTTTTTTTTTAAAAAAAGATTTTATTTATTTATTTGACAGAATGAGACACAGTGAGAGAGAGAGAGCACAAGCAGGGGGAGTGCGAGAGGGAGAAGCAGATTCCCCGGGGAGCAGGGAGCCCAAAGCGGGGCTCAATCCCAGAACCCTGGGATCATGACCTGAGCTGAAGGCAGATGCTTAACAACTGAGCCACCCAGGCGCCCTTCAGAGAAGCTTTTTTACTGATTAGAGTGCCAGTTTCTTATCTAAGGATACAGCTCAGAACAGCCACATGGAAAAGCTGCGCGGGGTGAAGTACAGGGAAGAGATTCAGAGCTTCCATGCTGTCTCTGAGCGCGCCGCTCTTCCCCAAATACCCATGTGTTCACCAACCTGGAAGCTCTCTGAACCCCATCCTTTGGGTTTTTATGGAAGCTTCATTACAGAAACATAATCGATTAAATCATTGGCCATTGGTGACTGATTCAACCTTCCCAGAGGTTGGGAAGTAGGACTGCAAGTTCCAACCCTTTAATCACAGGGTGAGTTCTCCTGGCCTCCAGCTCCCATCCTTTGCCTCAGGTCCAAAAGTCACCTTACTGACATAACACAAGACACCTTCTCTCTCTCATCACTTAGGAAACTCCACAGGTTTTAGGAGGAGGGAATGGGGATAAAGACCAGATATGTATTTTCTATACATCACATACCATACTCGGGTAACATGAGAGAGTGTCCCCTGTAGCGTGGGAACAGCATTGGATCAGGTGGTCAGGACAGGGCTCCCTGATTAAACTGAGACCCAAAGGAGAAGCCACTCCAGCAAAGGTCTGTGCAAGGAGACTCCCAGAAGCTCAACAAATGAAGAGGACCTGAGTTGAGAAAAAGCTTGTGTTCAGAGAACAGAGGAAGTTGTGAATGTGGAAGAGGGAGGGAGTGGGGAGCAATAGGGTGTTGGTCCCAGAGGTGGCTGGACAGGCCCGGACCAAGACCCTGTGGGCTACCGCAGGCCTGGTGAAGCATTCTGCTCTCTTTCTGGGTGCAGTGGGCTGTCACCATAGGACATTTTGCAGGGAGGTGGTGAGTTTTCTGTTTTTCTAAGACCTGGCCGCTCAGTGGAGAAGGGAAAGCTGGCAGTCATCAAGCCAGACCAGTGGCCCAGGGGAGAGGGCAGTGCTTTGCGGGAGGGGTAACACTGGAGATGGAGCAGAGGAGCCCGTCCAGGGAGCATCCGGGCATAGCGTCGACAAGGATTGCCGATGGGGTTGGGGACCGGAAGAGAGTGGGAAATAATTTATCTCAGTGTGGTATAAAAATGAAAGGTTAAGAGAGTCACTTAGAGCATCCAGATTCCATTCCGTTCTAGATCCTGAGTTAAAAGTTATTGCACATATTCACTATTAGGGCGGAACTGAGCTTTTCTAAAACAAATGCAATTCAGACACACTCGAAGCATGCTGGCTTTTGTAGTTGGCAGTGATGAATGTAAAGAAATTAACTTAGAAGATGGCAGTTCAACTCAACACATAATTTCCGCTAAAACGTAAGGACAAGCGTGGCCTAAACTGCAGTGGTTAGTTTTGCTAACAGTCCTTGCTTTTCCACAGAGAGCGTAAGTTCCCCAGAACCTATACAAAATTCAAAAGTAGACCTGCATTTAAAAAAGAATCACACTTAGTGGTTTTGTATCCTTGGGCTTCTGAGAAGTCCTTAATCATGGTAGGCAAATCTCAGAAGGTGTTCTGAGATTTGGCACATGGGTCCAAAGGTGCTGGAATCTGCTTTGATCTCCCCTGGGGCCCGCTGACCCTAGCTGCTTTTTCATCTCATTTTTAAAATCATCCCAAGTGACTTTGAGGTCCGCGTGGCTAACCTGGCAACTCATCAAGAACCTAGCCTCAGTGTCCCCATCCATTCCTGTAGAAGGCGGAGGGAGAGGGAGGGATTTCCAGAGAAGATCTTTCCAATGGCCGCGGCTGAGCTACGGAACCCACGGTGGGGAGGAGAGATTTGAATAGGGACGGCTACAAAGTCCCACCTCCACTGCACCTCACCACCACCACAGGAGGCTTTAGCATTAGATTTTGTTTTAATTGAGGGCACAACAGGTTTTTAAAAAGATGCACAGTGTGCTAAGCAGTAGCGCACTTGCCCACTGAGATGGTCCCAGCCCACATAATTCTGTCATTTTTGAGTCACCAATATGAATTGGGCTTTATCAGCCAGTGAATGAAACTCAGATCCCCAGTGACAACCAAAATTCCGTGTTCTCATTTCTGCCCACTGCTGCCCCACCAAATGTTTGCAAGAGGCCTCTCTTTACGATATTTCTAACCCATAGGCCCCCAAAGTTCGTAGGTTCTCAGTAAGGTCAGTTCCTGCCTTTTGCTGTTCTCTTGTTCTGGGTTTGGGTCCTCCCCCCTCCCTCTGACCACTGGGAAAATTGCTCTTCTCACCCGTATCTTGCAGAGAATGGAGCCCTGAGTGGGGCAGGAGAGAGGGAAGCACTGAACTGAGCTGGTTTGGTGGGAGATGTAGGGCTCCAACCTTTGACCCCGGGGTCTTGCTGCTTCATCCACATACCTGTTAGACTTAACCTTCCCCTGGTGGTTTTCATTCTCGGGCCCTGTTGGCCTGGTTTCCCATCTAGTCCATCAAAGCACATTCAGGTTCTTTCTCCAAGGGCCTCTGGGCTCCCAGCCAACCAGGGATCGTGGCTGGGCACAGTTTTAAGTGCCCCGACAGTGAGGAGGCTGGGCCACCCCAGAGCACCCTGACACCATCCCAGGAGGGTGCTGCTTGGGCCACAGGCCGACCCGAGTCTGGGATCTGTCCAGCCACGGTAGTTTACTACGACAGAGAAATCATGCTTAGGAAACAAAAAGGGAGAGATTATGTAAATACGTGTGGGAAATAAGCTCCGAAGCTCACAGATATTTGCTCTGCTGAAAACTTCACCCTCTTTCTGTAGGGCCTTTTCTCAAGCGAAACCTTACAGAGCCCCCGTGTACGAAACAGGTGGCACCCAGGGGTCAGGGTCAGACCTCCCTGCTCTTTCAGCCTCTCCCTCTGCTGGGTCCCCCCACCCCCACCCCCACCCCAAGTCTTTCCAGGGAATTCTAGGAGTCCTGGGAACATAACTTGCAAACCGCCACATCATGACATGAAGATCACAGAAAGGAAGACAGACACCCTGCATGCCCACACCCTTCAGGAGCCTTTGTCAACAACCCCCCTCGCTGCTGGGTCTTCAGCCCACCCCTGCCGCCGTTGGTTCCTCTAGTCGCAGACATGTGCAGGCGGCCCCAGTCCCTTGTGGATGGCGATCTGCTCTCTGCTACTCCCTCCGGTCCCTCCTCTTGCTGAAATTCACGTCTGACCTTGTCATTCCTGAAACGCCTTCGGTGGCTCACCATCCCTCCTAGGATGAAGGCCGTGGGCACTCAGCTCTTTCCTCACGGTTGTCCCTGCACACCTGTGCCCTTTCTCTGCTACTCCCCAGAAAACATCTGCTTCCACGTCCTACCACCCCCCACACCTCCAGCCACCAGGCGCACTCCCACTTCAGCCCTGGATTCAGGCTGCACATCTGTGGGGAAACCTCGCGCTTCCTGCGTCTAAGCCCCGCCCTCACGCCCAGGTGCTGCTGCATCCCCACCCTGCCCTCCCTGCCCTCGCTGTCTGTTGTTCTGCCTTCTCTGGTGAACTGTGAACTCTGCCTCCTCCACTTACGTAGAAGCTCCTTGAGAGCAGAGATGTTTCCGGGGGAGGGGAGATGACCCTGTCCCGAGTAAATCCCAAGCCCCCAGCAGATGCGGGACACATAAAGAGCGCTCGACATCAGAATGAATGAATCTTCAAGTTTCCACAAGTGCATTTGTCGAGATGGGAATGGCAGTTATGACATAAACCAGCTCCAAGTTAATAAAATCAGAGATCATCTTTCAGTCTCGTGTTGCACGCCTTTCAGTCGTTAAGTCTGCTTCAGTGAGATCTCAGGTTTGCAAGGCCCGTTCTATTTGTTGAAACAGTTGGAGCGTCCACTCTTCTGTGGATGTCTTACCACCTGTGTGGCATTGGCCGTGGCTGTAACAAACTTCTGCGTTCAGAGTTGATCCCATTCCTAATACAGGGAACAGGGAAGAGTCATGGAAGGGGCACGTGTGCATGTGTGTGTGTGTGTGTGTGTGTGTGTGGAGGTGTGTGTGTGAGACGAAAGGCCGGGTCTTTGAATGAACTGCTTACTTGAAAATTGTTTTTCTGCAGGTGATGTGTCACCAATCAGCATGTCTCCCATCAGTCAATCTCAGTTTATCCCACTTGGGGAAATCCTTTGCTTGGCCATCTCGGCAATGAACTCCGCCAGAAAACCTGTCACCCAAGAGGCGCTGATGGAGCACCTGACCACGTGCTTCCCAGGTAACGGGAAAAGAACGTAACACTTTCCAGATAGGTGTGTGTTCCATTGCTCGAGGACATCACACGGACCATTCCTCTTATTTAAATGTAATAGAAAAAAAAATTCTTTGCCAAAATGGGACAGAAACTTTTCTTAGTTCTGTAATTAAAAGCCGAGGCACCTCTGTTACCACAAAAATAATTTGCCGTCTTCAGGTATTACTACAATCCTTTTTAAGTTGGCACTGAGAAGAAGACATTAAATCAGAATCCATGAAGAATTCTGGCAAAAACTACCAAGGTTCTGTTCAACGTCACCATAACCTTCTTTAAAGACATGAACATCGTGATTCATGGGAGCAAGTCAGAAAATTTTAGTCCCAGGGGATTACACTAAAGAGAGTAATGTCAAAAATAAACAGGTCTTGCATGCTTGTGTCATGGCTTGATGAGTTTTAATAATCTGATATTTGATAAATCAGTTAAGATCCCATTTTGAAAGAAAAAAATAAAATGTTTCCTTTTCTCTTAAATATTAGTAAAAGAGGACAACAGGCCAGCTGCTGCATGATCGGCACTGGGTGTCTCCAGTGTCAGAAGACAGTGGGAACGGTGATGAGCTAAAGACTGCATGCCCTATCTCGAGGGAGGCGGCCCACTACTCAGCTCCGGTGTATTGACCCCCCCCCCAAAATGTAGAAGCCTGCCAGAGTTACAAATCTCCTACTTTTTCAAGAGAATCTGGACTTTCAATTTTATGTGAAATCTGTAGACTTCCCTCGCTATTGGCAGTTGTGTGTGTGTGTGTTGTGTGTGCGTGCACATTTTAACACATGTGTGCCAGTGACATGCAAGTCCAATAAAACACATTCCTGGGCCACCAGTTGGCCAACTTGGCTTGGACTCCAACCTATGCTTACATTAAAAATGAACCCTTGACACAGGTTTTATGCAACCTAGAAGAGACCTCGGTAAATAGAAACTAGAGGCTGTAGCCGTTAGCTTTTACTACCAAAATGCTGGGTAACAATCACAGAACATCAGTGGCATACAACAATGGACATATATTTAGCTTCTGGGTTCCCCAGGAGTCAGCTGATCCAGACTGGACCTGCCCAGGTGGCTCTGCTCCACCTGTCCTCCATCCTCTTTGGAAAAGGAGACACGTTTTGAAGTCTAACCGAATATTATTAAAATATTTGAATTCTCATATTTAATGCCTATGTTATAAATAAAAAGAATAGCCTAGATTTGGGCCTCTATTACTGTTTTGGACATCCATATTCTAAAGAATGTTTTTTTAGTGAAAACCTTCTAGTAAAAATGTCTGACATACTGAAATGTGAACCCTTTTATCACCTTTCTATATTGGTTGAATTTTTGAAAACAACTTTTGTCTACCAGTTTCTATTACAGAAACAAGAATTTTTTTAAAGTATAAAAAGAATGAAATACTTGCTTCACAGCTTAAGTAAATACTCGTCATCCATCCATCCAGAGTGATCATTTCAATCAGACTGGTACTTGTTGAGTTGTTACAGTCAGATCTTCCCGGGAGGAAAGCTGACCGTCAGAGAAAGAGCTGCTAATGGGGTTGAAGTTGGCTTTCGATTTTGCTAGAGAATGTTAACATTATATACCCCATGTTCTATCTCCCAACTCATCCCCTTTACGTCAGTTCTCGCAGAATTCTCCCTCAGCCAGTGTTCTTTACACACGAGAAGAAATAATCCAAAGAAGCCGACTGAAAGTTTCCGTCCAAAATGCTTAACGTATAGAACGTGTGCATGTGCTCTCCGTTCTGACAGTTGTCGGATTTGCGGGATGAAAGAGATCTTAGAAGTCTAAGTAGCACCCCGTTGACATGCAGTGTTTTTAGATACCTCTTTTTGCTTTGGAAAGATGTAAAGGCGTGGAAAAGGAGAGAAGTCAGCTTTCAGCTCTATTTGGATATAATGCTTATCTTTGTTCTTTAAGCCCTCAAAATCCAAATTCGTGGTGAATTTGGGGACTAGGATCTGGTAGTGGTGGAATGTGTAAACACTGAAAACAGCCATCTCTTTCCCAGGCGAGCCCTGCAGATTTCTCGTGCGAGTCTGCATTTCACAGACAACTGAAAATACCAGTCATTCGACAGGGGCTTCGTAATAAAATAATCATCCTAAGTATCAGTGACTCGCAGTTAAAGCTTTGAAAACCCACAGGTAGAAGGGTGGAAAGGGGATTGGACAGGGAATGTTTCTCGTTTGGTTTTTTCAAATTAAGTGTTATTGGACTGACAAACTTCAAATCCAAGACGTGAAAACTTTAGACGTAAATTCTCTTTGGAAACTCCTTCTTATTCCTTCCTTTGGGAACAATCCGAGCACCTATTCTTAATGGTAAGTAAACATGATGACACCGAGGTCATGATTTTGTATAGGTTTCTAAGTTTTCTATGATCGGCGCTTGAAAGGCCTACAGTCAGCAAATTCTGTTTATAGTACTAGCTGTTTTTCTGGATTACACCTCAGCTTTCCTTTATTACAGCAGCAGAGTAAACGGGTCAGTCATGAATGCTTATAAATGAGCCTTACCATTTTTTTGGAAGAACTTGTGTCTGTTACAGTAGCGATTGCAAGCATGCTACCATGTCAGATACAGTTCCTTTTCGGTATGGATCTGACACCCACATAGCTGTGCCACACAACCCCAGTGGGCATCATGAGGCTGCAGTGGGCACAGTGTCTCATCTTGGGAGTGGTAGTCTGTGTGAGTGGTGCCCGCCCCCCGCCAAATTTGTTCAGCCGAAGGACCTGGTTGGGAGTAGGGCACAAAAGCTCTTTTAAGTTGCTTCTCTTAGGTGTAAGCATGTTTTGTTTTATGACGGCACTCAAGAATTTCATATATATGGTTTGGGTTATATCACTAATTCACATGGAGTTCATTTTGTGCAGAAACTATCATAAAATTTTTTTAAAAATTTTATTATACCAGCCTGGAAGCCATTTGAGTAAACGCCAGCGTACATCTCTCAAGAGCAGAGCCCTAGACTAAAGGGAGACCATGCAGTGCAAAAATTAAATAATTATACTAAACAGTACATTATTCATAAGCAATGTTGCCTTTTCCACCTTGGTCACAAAGGATGGCTTCTGAAGATGGTAACATGGATGGATGGGCAGGTCACATCGCATTCATGGACGCTCTCCCAGGCCATTCATTACTCATGCTTTCATATCCCACTTTTGTAGTTTTGGAAGGATCGTGGAAGCCTAAACTTAGTTTACCCTGCTGTTCTAGGTTGCTACACGATGTTCTCTGAAGGTAATTTGGCTTCCATGGGTCCTGCCCCAAAGTTGAGACTATTAATAGCTAATGTTTATAGAGCCCCCACTATATGTCAGGCACTGCTCTGCATACCTTAAATGCATTTAAACTCACAATTACCCTATCAGGGTACCTGCTGTTATCCTCATTCTGATGGCCGTGAACAGACGCTCAGAGAGGTTAGTTAAGTTGCCTAAGAAAAAAAAAACTGTATCAGTTTTCTAGCACAGCCCTAACAAAGTACAAGGGGCTTAAACAAAAAAAAATTTATTGTCTTACAGTTCAGAAGGCTAGAACTACAAAATCAAGGTATCAGCACAGTTGGTTTATTCCTTCCAAGGTCTGTGAGGGAAGAAACTGCTCCAGACCACGCTCCTTGGCTGAGGGATGGACATTTTCTACCAATGTTTCTTCACATTGTCTTCTCTCTGTGCATGTCCTTCTGCCCAATTTCCCCTTTGTAGAAGGACATTGGTCATGTTGGAGTAGAGCCCACCCTGATGACCTCATTTTAACTTGTTTATAAAGACCCAGTCTCCAAACATGGTCACATTCTGAGGTTTGGGGCATTAGGTTTAAACACAGGAATGGCGTGGGCAGGGGAGGTTGCATAACTCCACCACCACCACCAACTAACAGTGATGGAGCTGGAGTTTGAATCTAGCAGTGTGGCTCTGGGCTCTGGGTGCGTCATGAGCCATGGTCAAGTCCAACTGCCCTTTTATGTAACTTACAAAATTAAGTTTATTAAGTAAGCTTAGTCTTGAAAAATGAGTGTATAAAGTAGCTTCCAGTGTATATGGTAGCCTCTGTATGCATCCTGTTTGTTTTCGAATGCCAAGACAGCTATTTCAACCCAGCTTCCCTAGTTTTCTTTGTTTCAGGAAAGGCTTTTTTGTAAATATATATTACATCATGTAAAACATTTTTCTTTTCCCCGTCCTTTAAAAATACTCTGCCTTTGATGGCTCAGTTCAGTAAAGGCCTCGTGACAACAGTATCAATCTCACTGCGCCTGGCTTCCATCTCTCTTCCTGAATACCTCCGAGTCCTGCGGACTTGCCATGTGGTGATACTCGGAAGCTGGGGGGGGGGGGGGGGGGGGGGGGGGAGGTTGGACTGCTGGAACAAAATCCCATAGACTGGGGGGGGGGGGGGGGGGGGGGGGGGTGGTGCTGAAGCAACAGGTATTTATTTCTCATAGTCCGGAAAGGCTGGGAGCTCTGAGATCAAGGCACCTGCAGATCCGGTGTCTGGTGAGGGCCCTCTTGCGGGCTTGAAGACGGCTGCATCCTCACACGGCAGAGGGAGGGGGCTTTGGTCTCTTCCTCTTCCTATGAGGGCACATCATTGAGGGCCCCACCCTCAGGAACTCATCTAAACCTAGTCACCTCCCAAAGGCCCTACCTCCTGGTACCATCACATCAGGGATTAGGATTTGCACATAGGAATATTGGGGGTGGGGGTTCAAACATTCAGTCCATAGTAGATTCTGAGAAATCAGGAACCAGCAACAAGTTCCCTCTACATTCTCATGAGTCTATGTTCCTTTGGTTTTAGGTGTTCCCACCCCGAGCCAAGAAATCCTACGGCACACACTGAACACGTTGGTACGGGAGAGGAAGATCTACCCAACTCCGGATGGCTATTTCATCGTGACCCCACAGACTTACTTCATTACTCCTTCTCTCATAAGAACTAACAGTAAATGGTACCATTTGGACGAGAGGATACCTGACAGGTCTCAGTGTACCTCTCCACAACCCGGAACCATAACGCCCTCTGCCTCAGGCTGCGTCAGGGAAAGAACATTGCCCAGAAACCACTGCGACTCTTGCCACTGCTGCAGAGAAGACATGCACAGCATGCATGCTTCCACTCTGCAGAGGAAACCTGCCAAGGACTGCAAAGACCCCTATTGCCCTCCTTCACTATGCCAGGTGCCACCCACTGAAAAGAGCAAAAGTACTGTAAACTTTTCTTATAAGACAGAAACTCTCTCAAAACCTAAAGATAGTGAAAAGCAGTCCAAAAAATTTGGGCTAAAGTTATTCCGGCTAAGTTTTAAAAAAGATAAGACCAAACAGCTAGCCAATTTCTCTGCCCAGTTTCCTCCTGAGGAGTGGCCCTTGCGAGATGAAGACACACCAACTACTATCCCTAGGGAAGTGGAAATGGAAATCATTAGGCGGATTAACCCGGACTTGACCGTGGAAAATGTCATGAGGCACACTGCACTAATGAAGAAACTTGAAGAAGAAAAAGCGCATCGGAGTAAAGCGGGGTCTTCTGCTCATCACAGTGGAAGAAGTAAAAAGAGTAGGACTCATCGAAAGTCCCACGGAAAATCTCGGTCACACAGCAAGACACGAGTGTCTAAAGGAGATCCTTCGGATGGTTCTCATCTGGATATCCCAGGTGACAGAGAGTATGACTTTGGTGATCCCCTTACCAGGGCACCCAGGGAAGGCTGCTTCATCATTGAACACAAAGGAGATAACTTCATCATGCATAGCAACACAAATGTGATTGAGTCTCATTTCCCCATGACACCAGAATGGGATGTGTCTGGGGAATTGGCCAAAAGGAGGACTGAGATGCCTTTTCCTGAGCCTTCCAGGGGAAGCTCCCACTCAAAAGTGCACCGAAGCCACAGCCATACCCAGGACCGAAGGTCCAGGAATGAGAGATCCAGCAAAGCCAAGGAGAGATCCAGATCCATGGATAACTCGAAGGGCCCTCTGGGTGCTTCTTCTCTGGGGACGCCTGAAGACCTGGCTGAAGGCTGTAGCCAAGATGACCAAACCCCCAGCCAGTCCTACATTGACGACAGTACTTTAAGGCCTGCGCAAACAATTGGCCATCAAAGGGCTCATGTTTCGTCCACAAGCTATAAAGAGGTGTGTATTCCAGAAATAGTCGGTGGCAGCAAGGAGCCTTCCAGCGCATGTAGCCTTTTGGAGCCAGGCAGACCACCTGAGAGTTTGCCATCCTATGGGGAGCTCAACTCCTGTCCAACAAAAACAGCTACAGATGACTATTTCCAGTGCAACACGTCCAGTGAGACAGTCCTCACGGCGCCATCGCCTCTGGGAAAGAACAAAGAAGATCATGACACTCTGACTCTGGCGGAAGGGGTGAAAAAACTGCCGCTGTCTGATAGGCAGGCCCCACATTCTTCCAGAGAGCCTGTAGGGCACAAGGAGGAGTCACCAAAAGGGCCAGGCGGAGGCCCAGCCGCTTCCGGCGCAGTGGCCGAAGGGATTGCCAATGGACGCCTTGTCCAGCACCATAGTGCTGAGCCCAGCAGCCTGGACAAGAGGAAAGAGATATTCAGCAAGGACACACTGTTCAAACCTCTCCACAGCACCTTGTCTGTAAACAGCTATCACAAATCGAGCCTGTCCCTCCTCAAATCTCTCCCGAAGACACCTGCCGACACACTGCCGGGCCGATGTGAGAAACTGGAGCCGCCCCTGGGGACCTCGGTGGCACCAGCCGTGCCTGGTTCCCAGCGTCAGCAGGAGTCAGGGGGGAACCAGGAAGCCGCTTTTGACTATTACAATGTGTCCGATGACGACGACTCCGAGGAAGGGGCAAACAAAAACACGGAGGAGGAAAAAAACAGAGATGATGTAGGCACCATGCAGTGGCTCCTTGAGAGGGAGAAGGAAAGAGACTTACAGAGGAAATTCGAGAAGAACCTCACCCTCCTTGCCCCAAAAGAAACCGACAGTAGCAGCAACCAGAGAGCCACCCATTCAGCACGCCTCGACAGCATGGACAGTAGCAGCATCACTGTGGACAGTGGATTCAACTCCCCACGGTAGGGAGAGGCATCTCTGCGCGCGCGCACACACTCACACTCACACACCTATGAGGGCCTGGGGCTTTATGCAGATAACTTGAAAAGTTTTTGATTTCAGTTTTAATTCTGTGAATGCGGGTTAAGGGTTGTGTGAGTTGCACTGTTAACAACCTGTTTCTGACTTCTTTTTCAGGAATTGAAACAAATGTTTCTGCAGCTGTAGAGATCACCAATCTGGACTGGTGGGTTGGCTCCCTCCCTCACACTTGCATCAGGCCAATCTAACTAGGACCAACATTTTCCAGGATTTTTCTTCTGTGTTTATATTGCCACCATGCTGATAAAAGAAGGGTTTTTTTTTTTTTTTTTTTTTAGGTCCTCAAAAATAGTAACTTTTTGAGTAGAATGAGTGGTCAGTAGTCAATTGGGGGTTGGGTAGGGCTTGGGTATAAATCGATTGACTCAATGATGGGGTCCTTCTAGTGGGAATAGCAGATCTCAACACCTTTCCAGGGGATTGAGATGCTAGTTGCCATTGCAATGTCGACTCTGTGTGCTCCCTCCCCGACCTTGCTCATACGTTTCACATCAGCAGAGAAATAGAACCTTGTGTCTCTCACAGAGCAGTGAGGGGCCTGTGTTCCCTTAGATCAAAGCATGTGCCCACACTTTTCTCTCTCCTGCAGAATTGATGCAACCCATTAAGGCACTCGAATCATAACTGGTAATTCAGCAAAGGGTTAACAGCAGAGAGTGTGCAATGCCTAACGGTCATATCCAGCACACTGAAGTAGCTCGGGGGTTAAGAAAGCAAAAGAGAGTCTATCCAACTTCCTTTTTTTTTCTCCTTAACTCTTCCTTCTCCTCAAAGGGCAACTTGGGACCTAATTCTCCTTCTAAATTCTACTCCAGATTGGTGACTCTGAGATGCAGAAATACTACTGAGAGGTGGACATTTCTCATTAGCTGCGATTCCCAAGATTCTACGATATTGATAATTTTAACAAGTACCCAGATAGGATTATATACTTCATATATTTTGATTATGAAGAATGAAACTTAGTTCTGTTGTGATCATTTCACTTTATCTCTGGATAATTTGGGGACAGAACATCCCCAAATCAGAATTGGGAATCATTAATCTGTCCCATATTAGACCTTTGTTATTTCTTTAAGGGCTAGTTTTTTATTATGATGATGATTATTTTTGCCATGTAACCTTTTTTTCCAAGTTAACACATGTGCGGAAGTCTGATGTCTAAACAAACCACAGAGATGGTGCTCTGGTTAAAATGGGTGTGAGGCCAGGAGCCCCATGTCTCCTCTGTCAGTCCCTCAAGGAGCCCTAACTGACCTCAGGGAGCTATGGCACTCAGTCCAAAAGCTATTAGCCTACCTACTAAGTGACTTTTCTACAAAATAACTTCCACTAGATATTTTTTAAATCATAAATCAAATCTTAACTTATTTACCAATTATTTTATATATCCTTTTCTTTCTATTTCTCGCTTCTGCTCTTTTTTTTTCCTCTTAAATTTCTAACAGTGGATACCAGAGAGGTATAATTGAAGGTCTGTAATTGATGGTAGACATTCAAAACCATAACCAAGGTGTGGTTTATCTGCCTGTACCTTATGCTCAACTGTTTCTTATCATACAGACTCTGCCTGCCTAGTACAACTAGTTTTTTTCTGACCTTGCACTGTGGCCTCTTCGCCCCTGCATCCTCCGCAGAGGGAAGGCTGCAGTCCTCCAGACGTAATTGCTACAGAGACAAGAGTAGTTTAATGGGTTCTAACTCAACAGCCCACCACCGCATGATATTGAAAGTTTTTTTTGTTTGTTTGGGGGGCAAATGGACACAAATACTCATGAAAGAGTTGACCCAGTCTTGCCACAGAATGTATTGTTTTATCTCTAAATTTGGGATGCAGAATATAGAATTGATGAATGAGATTATTTCTTGAAGTAAGTTTATTTTCATTTGTTTAATAAGGTACTTAAGGTTAAACGCTTTGTCATGGTAAGAGGTAAGATCGTTCTGAGGAAAAAACTGTCTCGCATTTAGCTACGTGTCTGTCCACTACTGTTAGGTAGAGTTTTCTCTATAGGAATACATAGATCGCCCAAAAATTTCATGCAGTTAGATCATCTGCAGAACAATTCCTAATTTTGCCCTTTTCGTATTTACTATTCTTTGGCTACAAATTAGGTCACAACTGTTTTTAAACTGTATTTTCGGTACACCTCAGTTAATCGACTAAGTTGTTTTCTGATGCGTGAGAATGGCCTATGAAGGAGAATATTTGAGTTATAGGGAGTTTTATTCTCCAGCATGAGGAGTATTTTAGCCATATAGCATTATCAGTCTGATACCTCTCCACTGCCATGAGATACAGAAACTTTAAGTGGGTCACTTACTCCAGTCTTTCAGTACATATTCCACAGAGCAACTAAGATCCAGTAACAACAACAAAGACCAAGAAAGGTGATCTCCACACTCCCAGCTTTCCGTGCTGGCTCAGAAGTCATGTTCAGCCACATTCTCAAAATTCTCAGTCCCTTTCGTTGGGACCTAAAGGGTTTTGAGAAGGAAAAAAGGTAAAAGCTTCAACTGTGCTATGAGGTCTAATATTGAACACGAAAATTCTTGACCTGTAAAATCCGCGATTCCAAATCTGAGGCCCAAAACTGGTTGACAAACACAGTGTGAAAACCCGAGGTAGCAAAACTGCAGGGATGTGTCGGCTTCGTGTAGGGCGCGAGCATGCGCTGTCGGAGCGCGGGGCCGAGGGAAACACACGCATCCAGGAGGATGAGCCACACATCTGTTCCGTTCACTTCTTCTGCTTATAAAATCCTGACATCTTATTGTTAAGGTTGCACTCCATTGGGTTTCTTTTTCAAGAAAGTTAAGAACTTTTAAACTGGAAGACTAATTTTATTGCTAATGCTCTATCTCCATTAGCTTTTTCTTCATCACACCCAGAACCCTTGTTACAAGTGTCGCACCCTGCACTTGTTATTACAGCAGTAACGAAATATATCCTTTGGAGAAACTGGAGTACTGTATATCTTTTCACTGTGATGACTCTGGCCAAAGGTGGTCAGAGGCATCTTAGAGCAGAGACAGCTCCCAACTTAGATGATCTTTTGCCGTGATGTGTGTTCACAGTGCCTGGCATGCAGCGGGTACTTGATGAGTGTGAAGCCTGTGCCTCAAAAGCTAGTTTCAAAGGTTTAAGAGGGTTTAAGACCTTAAAATGCATTTTTCCATAGAAAAGGTGCCATTACTAACGGATGGATTCTGAAACCAACTCATAGTAGCTCCTTCATTCATTAGATGCCAGATGTGCATCTGAAATAATTAGAATGTATCTAGCTTTTTAGTGTACAGATTCATCAACGCTTATTTCTTCACAATCACTCTATGAGTAGGTAAATCTCATAACTCTCATCGTTTTAGAGATGGGGAAATCAAATACTGTAAAAAGTTACTATCACAATTAAGAGTGAAACTGAAAGAACGTGTCACGAAATCTTTGGGGTTCTACATGTTGATTGCCCTTCTTCCTTCCTCTGCCTGACCCTGTGCCTCAGCTATGGTGCTGGCAAGCCACTGGTGAATTTTCTTAGGGAAGGTGTAAGGCAGGTAAGTAGGTGAATCTAGCACTTAACATCGCTTTAGTGATGATGTTCTGGGGTATTCTTTAGGTATGGTCAGCTCTACCGTAAGCACAATGAAAGAACTTAACTTCTTTCTTTTTTTTTTTTAAGATTTTATTTATTTATTCGACAGAGAGAGTGAGAGAGCACAAGCAGGGGGAGCAGCAGAGGGAGAGGGAGAAGCAGGCTCCCCACCAAGCAGGGAGCCTGATGTGGGGCTCGATCCCAGGACTCTGGGATCATGACCCGAGCCGAAGGCAGACGCTTAACCATCTGAGCCACCCAGGCGCCCCAGAACTTATTTCTATAAATATATTAACCTTCTGGAGGTACCCTTTGCAGTCAAGAAAGATCCGGTTGTCTTTCTGGTAGTCGATGAATAAACGTCCTTTTAAACAATTACCTCTTGGCTCCTTGATGAGAAGCAAACTCAAAGCCACAAAGGTTAGAATGAAACAAACCACTATCTAGGAAGTGCAGCCAAAGTACAGGCATCCCTCGCTTTCCAAAACTTTGTGTTAACATCCTTTCACTTTAACAAAAGACGCTACATTAGTAACAGCTTTCTTCGTGAAAGCGAAAATCTTCGGATTTCTTTCAGTTAGCAGAAACAGGTACTAATGTAGGTCTTTCATAAAATCGAGGAGGCATTAATGGCGAACATTTGGAAAGCATGTGTATACTCTTTCTGACATTTAGGCTTAGGAAAGATTTCATAGGAACACCCTACACTCCGAAAGTGGGAAAAACCTGTGTGGGGTTCAGACAGAATTGCTATCAATTTAGTACGGGAATGAAAGAAAGGTGGTGAGGATGTCTACTGCAGTAGTCTGACCTGCTGACTAGTTTCAGCAGGCTTAAATCAGTGATGGGGGGCGCCAACTCTCAGAATATTTTCTAAACTCTGAATCTGCCCAGTTGGGTGAATGGATGTTTTGAGCATCATTGTGGTTTCTTCAATCTCTTTGTAAACTAAGTCTCTTATTCCCACTTTGAGGACTTTGAACATAGAACCTGTTCAGTTCCTATCAGTCAGGCCAAGTAACCTTATTTCTGCTATTGCCCTACACATTTAAAATGTTAATATTCTGAATCTCTTGGAGCCATAAAACAAATTCAAGAGTTTCTAACTTAGAAAAATTAAAAGCGAAGTAGAAATACTAAAGCCTTTAAATCACTTCTATTCTAAAGAATCCTTGAAAAATAAAATATTGCTACCAAAGTCGGGAGAGGGGATGTAAACTTCACAAATGGGGGAAATCTAAGATTCCTTATCTGAAAATATAACGTATTTCCATGAAAGTGTTAAGATTTGAAACAGAGGTGCAAAGCGTTTTAAGAAGAATTTTATTCCCATCAGGGTGGCAAATTAGCTAATGGCATGCTTGAAGTCCACCAAAGTCAAAATCTGCTAATCAGGAATGAAAACGGAATCATTAGGGGCAAAATTGAGTTTATTCATTTATTCAGTGAATTTCCAGCCTGAAACGAAATCATCGCATATGTGTATTTAAGAGGATTCTTTTCTAAAATGAACGCGATAGCTATCTCTCACATCAAATTTGGAAGCAGTTTCCTTGAATGGGAAAAGAAGGAGAAAACATTTACAGTGCCTTTAGCTGGATGAAAACCCATTATTCAGGGTGCCACTGATTATAACGTGTGTGAAAGCTTCTGGAGCCGAGCCCACATTGGAAGAGCGTATGTGAATAATCAGTGTGAGGTGGTGTATATATGACATCATGAGCCAACAGAGGAAATCCATTAACTACATCATTTGCTCTTCCTCTGGGGCTCAAGAGATAATTATTTATGTATAAAACAAAACAAAACAAACCCTTTTTACTCTTTTAGCACTCGGGAGAGCCTGGCTTCCAACACGTCAAGCATTGTTGAAAGTAACCGTCGTCAGAACGCTACCTTGAGCCCGGTCCACGGTGGAGCTGGCCCGGCCTTCAACTTCCGAGCAAGTACGGACCCCGCAACCAACGAAGCTGAGAAACTACAGAAACCTTCCAACTGCTTGCAAGCTTCTGTTACTAGTGTGTGACAGTCGTTCTGCCTCAGATCTCCTGTCTCATTTGATACAGCCAAGTTTACGACACTGGGACTGATGTTTACATCTTGGGAAAGACAAGCATCTCGACCACAGTTTTTGTGTTTACTTAAACTGTGCTGCTAAGTAGGCTAGGGCAAAAAACAAAAATCTTTATTTCAGAGTATTGCTTTTCACATTTATGGCTCTGTAGCAACCGAATAGCAGTAGGGGTGATATGTATACTTTTGCTTCACTACTTGTAACTGAGCACACATAGGAAAGTCTAGACACTGTAAGTGTGATATGCATTCCAATGTCATGAAGTTGCCAATTCCATTTTTAAATGCCACAGATACGTGTTGCTCCCAGTCTGTGGTCAGAGGGTGCCACAGAACTGATCCTTGACACTTCCCCCCCCAAAAAAGTAAGCCACCCCAAAATGTCAAATACCAGGATCCACCTTGAGGGAAATCAATGTCAAACTGACCAGAAGGGACCCCAGCCCTTTGTGTGTGAATTGTTTATGCACCAGTCATTTCTCACTGTGAGTTTTCGTGACACGATTTTGCAGGAGCCCATGGAAGTGTGTCAGAAGGGGTCGTGATCGAAATTCTGGGAGTGTTGGTTTTCAGGATTTTGTTTTTAAGTGTAACAGATGCTTGTCTGATTTTTAACCTTCCATAATCACAAACAGGAATATAGGCCTTTGATTCTGAAGTGGACGAAGGAAGGAGATCCCCAGCCTGGCTGGGACACAGCACTAAGGGATGGAAGAGGGAAATGTGGACTCTAAAGGTGTCAGTCGAATATTTAAGGAAGATAATTTCCTCCTTGTGATACTTATGATGATCCTATCTTACTATAATAGATATGATAATTAGTTTGTTTAAAAGCAAAATGTTCTTTGTGATACAAATGAAGAGTATGGCCTGGGGATGTTATTCTTTCTAATGGAAGGACATTAATCTATTTTATGTAGTTTTAAATAGAATGCCTAAATTAGGCTATGGGAGATCATTTTTAGTGGTTATAGGAAAGAGCAAAATTAGGGAGAGTTGAACTTCAGGCCTTTTATTCCTGGAAAGATATCTATAGAGAAAAGTTTAAAATAATTTTTGATTAGAAATATACATGTGCCCATGTAATTACCAACAGAATGTGCTCATTCTGCAAGTATGGTATAATCTGAACTTGTACTCCCCTAAAATTTATCAGAGTAACAATTATGCATACATGAACTATGCCAGAGTAATGTTTACAGATACTTTGTAACCAATTTCAGGAGGCATTTTTAGGTGTAGAGTTACTAGCCCAACTTATTTCAAAATGGTTTGTTAACATTTTGCTTTGGTTTACAATGTCTTATTGAATACAAAGAAGACTCCGCAGCAAAGGGATTACAAATAATCGAGCTTCAACTTTACAGAAAAGAGACATTTCAAAGTTCCCCATTTTATTCTATGAGAACAATGGCCTAAATGTGTAGATAATGAAAAATTATTTGCAGAAGTGTTACATATGACACAGGTAAATGGTCTGACCAAAAGTTTAGTTTAGTGGCGTGTGAGCCATATAACCATAAAATATATATCCAAAAATAAATCTAAAATCTTCCCACCTCAGACTTCAGTAATTGGCATAAAATGTGTGAAACATTTCTGCTTCAGTATTAGGTTCAATCACTAGGGATCTGTTTAAAGAATACACTCCTATACATAGCTGGACCGATTCTTGAAACATATGGATACTCTCTCATGCTTTTTCAGATATTTGGAAGATGCATTAGGTCAAACTGGACTCATCAAGTTTAGTCTAGATTCCTTTTTTTGTGCTTATAATGAAACGTAAGCACATTTCTTGGTAAACCCCCATAACACTAAAATGCTTAAGTCAGTTGGCTTTCAATCTCATGCCTTATTTCCTCCAAGGCATGCCCTGATTGCCCAGAAATGCACTATTTGTCTCATTGCTTAAATATGTCCAGGAGGAATGATAATCTATCTAATAGACTATACACACAGTCTGTTTCCTTGGGGAGTTATATACCATACGGTTACTAAATTCTTCTGGCTAAATTCCTTTTTTTTTCCAAAAAACCTGCTCTCGAGTGTTGAATCATACCATCAGTTCATAAATAATGTAACCATTGAAACAATACATCAGCCTCTCGTTGATCCTCTTGAAAGTAGCCATTATAATAATCAAACGCTGTGTGGACAGGAAAGGAAAGCATTACCTTTAAGAGAAGCTTTAAAATAGGAATTTATCAATATTTCACAAGATACAGGTTTACAGAAGACATGATTCAGATAAAATGTGTATATACTATTTGCCTGATGCTATGGGGTACACGATTTTAAAAACAACAAAAACTCCCTTAGACCTGGAGCCATTAGCGTAGAGAAGATGGGATTTAAAGATGCTACGATGTAAGCAGACGTTCCGTGTGGAAATGTCCCCGTCTGCATCTAACAGGAGTCGTGGATGGGGGAGGCGTGGTGGCAGGAAGCACTGTTACAGATGTGACCCGAAATGGTCCTCGGACGGTGGGCGAGCTTCTCGGTGACCAAACCCTCAGCCCACGCCAAGCTTTGCCAACATCCTTTTCCTCCCCTGAACTGATAGCTTTGTGAGACGTGGCTGCTTATCTAGTCTTCACTTAAGAGTTTATCAGCTGAAAGGTTTACAGAACTGAGTCTGGTTGAATCTTTGTGTAGCGTTCAACTCTAAAGGGTCAACCCGTCTGTCGGCATTTTGCACACTTATGTATTATTATGATGCAGCATATTACTTTATGGCAATTTTTATTTTTACATATAACTACCTCCATAAATTTGATGAAGCGGCAGCAGTGTGTTTAAAGTGTATTGTTCAGAAAAGCAAAGTGGAAAACCTCCGTAAACATGAGGCCATGGTGTTCTGTGTGTGTGTCCGTCAGTGACTGCCCCTGTGGACTCGTGACTTCTTCATGGCCGTGGTTTTGTTTTACGGCACTATTGAGCTTTCAGATGTAAACCTGTCTCTCCTCTCTTTCCCACAAAAGCACACTTGATTTTGTTACCAATGAAAGGAAGTTGAAATCTCTTGTCTTTCCCTGCCCCCTCTCCCCCACCCCACTCCTGCTAAGAGTTCTCCCTGGTGAAGAGCCGATTGGTAAACACAATTTAGCAAGCTCTTTACTCCTGTAAGAATCTGATTTGGAAATTCTAGGTTTTCAGTAACTGAAGACACACAACAAATTTGGACTGTGCCGGCTTTGAAGTACTTTGGGTCTCTCTGCCTTCACTCACATGCTCCCATCCTGAGCCCAAACTTCGTTTTAATTAAAAGAGCTGTGTTCTGTTAAATAATTTGTATTCCATTTTATATATTTTGCACATCTCAGGGGACCTTAATGAGCATATGAAAAGGGGGGTGCCATCAAATAGAGAAGACAAATGGAGGAGCTGAATGGGGACCAACCAGGATAAAAATACCAAATTAGTGCTTCTCTGATGTTGTGGAGTGCAAGTTCAGGAGGCATAAATTGAAAGTTAATCTGGACTAACAATGATCTGAACACCAGCTGTTCCCAAGTCTCCCTATCTCAGAGCCCAACCAGCGGTTCGAAGATGTAAATTTAAATTCTATCGCAATCGCCATGGGAGGAAAAACTTGTTGGATGAAAAGGAAAGCATTGTGCGTTTTGTTTGTTTGTTTTTTTAGGTTGGCACAGCTTTGTAAAATCCTATCCAGGATAAAAACCACTTATCGCCACCAAGTGTACTTGAAAATAAAGTTTTTAACTTAAATTATAGGCACATAGCTCACAATACAATAGTGAACCTATTTTGAAGTCTCGCCATTTATAACACGGGCAGTATTTGGAGCTTGATTAAAAGCCAACAACAAGCTATCATGACTTTGCCAGTTCATTTTGGGATCTCAAAGTGCTTCCAAAGCATTCAGATTGACAAACAATTAACAAAGCAGATCCTACTTGTAATACCCATACTTGAAATGGACAGACAGAAGGGGGGAACCTCAGATTACCCAGAAATTCCGTGGCAGCTACCAGTGATCTGTTTTCTATCTGTTTGATAGACCATCATGAGAAATCACTAAATACAATGCTATTTTTCTGATGTGTGCTAATAAAGTCAAAGAAAACAAATACAACTGTACACTTTTGTCCATTTTCATTCAAAAAGTTCAGGGTGTTTGGAATTTTACAAAACCCACCCAAATGCCATTGCGGTCAGAGGTAGATCCTAGACATACACCCTTGTTTACAGTTTCCTCTTGGGCTTCTGTAATTCCTGTGCTAAAATACCATCCTTCAGGAGCTTGACTCTTCCCGACAGTGGAAGGTGCTGAAACAGAAATTGTAATTAAAAATTTATCAAGTACTCTTCACTGTGCTGCTTTAGCACACTAGAAATTCAGTACAATATGTCGAGTCCCACCTGGAAGAATCTGGATTTCCGAGGGAGCCGATCTAGTTCTCAGTGTGTTCTCAAAGTAGGAGATACCAGATCCTTGCTGAGGACCTTCTCCATGGCCACAGGCCAGCCGCAGAACCAGCCGGCACGGGCTGTCAGGTGACAGCAGACCCCCAAGCAGAAGTGATCCCATCCTCCTTTCCCCCAGCCCACCCCCCTCTCCCCCACCATCCTGCCCGTTCTCTTCTGTGAGCAGCCAGGTTCCTGCACATGTTTAGGGCTTGAGGACGCTAGGACACAGAACAAATGTGAAAGCGTGGAAAACATTGTTTTGCTTGGGGTTAGTAAAATACAGGCAGGAAGGAGATTACTATCGGTCTGATCTTTGCCAAGTTAGATAAAAGAATCAGCTGTCACGCCGTCATTCTCCCAGAAGGTTTTACAGTATTAAGGATAAAAAAAATATTTTCCCATAGATTTTTATTTAGGAGACATTTCACAAATTATATATACGAAAAAAATTCATGATGAAATTTCCTGGCGTGTTTGAAATAGGCGTTGGCATCTCCCTGACTGAGTTAGTCTCTGCGTCTTATGCAGCAACATCCCAGAGAGAGATTCCCCCAGTGATTGCTCCCCTAACACATAGTCCTGTGTTTTTACAGTTGTTGTATGACTTACAGTTGCTGATTGGCAAGGTTGAGGATTCTATAAGGCTCAAGGGGGACTAAACTTTCTTATGATTATATATTATCAGTTATAGGGCTTTAATTGCTAATTGTTGGCGTCAAATGCGAACACACACACACCCTGCCAACAAGGGAAGGGGAGTTTCACAAATGAGGCAGCAAATGTAAGGCTAGAGGCTTGGCTGGTCCACGTACAGCTGCCTACCTCCCTGTCCAAAGGCTGATCTTGGCACCCCTGTTCCCTTCCTCCCAACCAAAAGAGGTACCAAATCTGAGATCTGAGAAATCCTCCAGTATCAGTCCTCTGCAGTTA